ACACTCTGCACGTGCCCTGACCACAAGACCCTGTGCAGATTTTTTCGCACGCTTGGGCGGAGACTGCGTCTTCTGTTGGAGCAGGATAATTACTGGTGTCGGATGTCTGCAGATGTGCGAAATTTTGCACACAATGCGACATGAGAGCCACGACTCGATGGAGGTGGCGGCCGCCACCGCTGTTGCACTCAGCCGTACACCACGAGGGGTGCGGCAAATTGTCGTCTAAACTATTCGTTTTGCTCATCTAATTGAACGGAAAGAAGTCTCATTAGCCGTTCGCTATAAACAAGTTCTATGAATCTCAAAAGCACGTCGTGACCGTGGATACGGTAGATAATTGGTCACTAATTGCAACCACTAATTGGCCGCTCATCTTTAATTAGTGAAATAAGCTTTATGAGCAACTACAAGATTGTTACCAGTCGTCAATGAGGGCGTTTTGCATTTAGCTACTTGGAACCGTCGCGCTGCCGCTCGGGAGTGGCTAACTGGCCTAGGGAATGGTTATGAGTGAAGGCAAGTAAAATGAACTACCACTGGGCAGTACGGATTCCATCCCACTGTCCACTTGGCTCCACTATTGTTAGCGACCTTTAAAGGGTCAACACTCAAACTTCTTTGACTCAGCAAGTTGCGCTCGTCCAATAAGGGTCAGCTAATGACTCGACTCCACCAACGTCTCAAATAACAACAATGGTCATTTACATCAAACAAACCTGCCGCTTAACTTTCTATGACCATCACTTGCGCAACTTCGAGGTACCGACTGACACATTTAAGGCACTTGAGCCACATTTCGTAACCCTAATTGGATGAAAGGTAAAGTGGTAACGGAGCCCGTGGTCGTTTGTTCATCCTCGAGTTCCGGGACAGCGGAGGCCCTGCTACCGTCCAAATGCGCTCCAGAGGGCTATGGTAGCAACCTGACCGTTCACAGACTTAAGAGCTGTTGTGGGTGACAATTCAAAAGCTGAACCTTCCAGAGATTCATAGGCATCACTCCGTTTGCTTTTCTCCTCTGTCTAGAACTGAGTAACACAGCTGTTCAAGACCGCATCCTTCCCCGACTCCCCGACTCCCCGACCAGGTATTTGCCAAGATAAAGGCGCAAGTTGAGTGGCGAAGTGAATTGGATCAAGACACTAAGGGACAGCGAGTAACGAGATGCTGATGACGGTGCTCATCGTCGGAGTGCCGTAAATGGCCTGTCGAGCGCCTCGGGGCAGCTGATAATTGGAACACGACCAACGATGGCGATTGCTCGCGACAACTGCGCATTTAACGGCTTCATAATCAAATCATTACGCTGATACAATCGCCTCTTCGGCTTTCTTGCAAAAGCATTTCCGAGGTCCTCTTGTACACTCATATATGAGAGCCTATGGAAATAAACACCTTGCTAGAAATATTTAAAGGCATAAGGCACAATAATTCTTGATCAGTTTTTCTTTTTTTGTTTTCTTTTGTTTTGTTTTTTTTGTCTCAGCTAATAGAATAATGCGGAGTAGCAGGGATGCCTATGTAGTATGTGGGTAAGTGGGTGAAAAGTGACGCAGAAAGCGAAGTGGGGAAACGAGCAAAAGCTGCGAAAAAACTTAGGTTGCTTAACTTGACTCAAACAGCTAATTCGGACGATTCCCTAGGCATTCGGCGCGCAATGAATGCGGCGTAACGTAGATAGGCTGCATGGCTGATGTAGTCCATAGTAGTCATCTTGCGCGACTGCAGCCGCTCGCCTAGTTGTAGCTTCGGCAAATGCGAACGATCGAACATGACGCATCCTGTCAGGACATTTGTGAGCGGGAGGGCACGGAGTAGGCAGCTATTGTCGATATGGGCTTTGCGCGAGCTTGGAGTAAGGGCGCTGGGTAAGGGTACTTACGCCACGCAGCACCTGCTCAGGCGCGTCAACTTTCTTACGAATCCTGCCCGTCTTGGGGATGTATCGTGCCAACTGCCTGTAAATTATGATAAGATAAGGAAGTGCATGGAAGATGGACTGTGCCCAAGGATTAGAGCAGCAGCCAGGGAGAAAGAGGACGCATACCCTGAAAATAGACGTTGTTCAGTTTACTGCCCATGCCTTCGAGGCGATAGGGCACACTTCACGCTGGAGGACATTCGGTGGTAGGTGGAAGGAGGTACGGTACTATATCGCTCAGTGAAAAGGGGTTAACGTGATTCCTTTCCCTTTCTGGAGAAGAGGTCGTTCTCGAGAAAAAGACGTGGATATGTCGTATTGAGGAAAACATTTCTGGCGTGGTTCTGCTTGATGGGGGCATCAGGTGGTACCCAGCGATGTTTGCCCAGGCAACCTTGTGATTCCTACAAAGTTTCTTCACTTCTACCGTTAGAGGCCTCACAAGTGTTTCACCAAATTCACACCTTTACACTTGTTAGCTGACATAGAAAAAGATGTAGTAGTAAGTATAACTGACAGTAAGTTGTTAACTTATTGCGAGTTGAAATTGCTGAAACTTTTCCAGTATGCATATCGTTACAAAGCCATTTCTGGTTGACATTTTTTTTGGTCACAAGCATTATAAACTAGCAAAGGGAACTAGTGAATGTGCAGATCCCCTCCTCCCCCCATAGCCAAACGCCCAGATTCCCATCTTCCTGGTGTGCCGCTATGCCAACAGTGATGGAGAATAGAAGGCAGACTGTGGATTTTCGGAAGGTGCACGAAGAGCAGTAAGTTATCCTGGGCATTTCATGTAACTGCTCTTTCAAATTCACGTCTGTCGTGCTGCACAAAATTTCGCGTGGCGCATTCCTACCGTATTGATTAGACATTGGCCAAGAGCAAAAAGATCGATTTTCTCTTTCAAAAGGAACACGAAGGACTTCAATGAACACATAACACCATAACCCTAACAAATTACCCTCTTGTCTATAATTAGCAGAACAAGGCGTTCGATTACCGTAGTCTCTGTTCTCGTATCGAATGGTTACAGTAATTAAAGCATTGCACAATGACTATTAACAGCAGCAATGTGTGTTCACACTCTTCAATCGCAACAATTATCATGAATGTTCAGCTGTCTGAGAATGGCAAACTGGCCTCACCATGGCCAAGGCATCACAGCACCCGGCCCGGTCAACGCAACATTTTCGCACTCAAAAATGTTAATACGCAAATCACCACCGAAAACACTCCGACTACTGTCCAGCCGTTTTCAACGCGCTACACCGTTAATTCGACTTAACGGGACGGGGCTCAACTCCAACATTTGCCCTTTTCGAGTTACAACTCTCATCATTCCGCCTGCTGCCAGCAGGTCCAACCATGTGCCCTTTGCACAAATCGAAGCTCGAAAAATCAAGGAAGGGCTTAGTTCACACTGCAAAACGCGACCTGTCAACTTCAAGGATAGGAGCAATTCTAAACAGACAAATCAACAAAAAGTATGAATTTTCTAACGAAAAGCTATGCGGTGACTTTCAAATTTGTGTACAATGAGATAAGCGATATGAATGATGATTTTATCAAGATCGTCTGGATTAATATCCTGTGGCGCCGCATGCCGGAATGAAGCCCTGAACGGCTTTAAGTAGAGGAATCCGGGACTCCAGCACCTTTCTAAACTTTACCCATAAGGAAATACCCAGTGAAAGCTTGTGGCCGGCGTCACCCAGTTTCTTAAGTATCAGAAAAGAAAAGAATAAATTAATTGAGAAAGGGAAGACTGGGGAGTCTGTCACCTCAAGCAACTACTTCTATCAGTTGCAGAAAAACGTAGTGCTCCCCGGTTCAGGCTTTCTCTCCAAAAGCCGCCTTCCTTGTCGAGAGCAGACGTGAGAATAACGCGCATGAAGTTATATCTTAGCATTCTGGTGTAGCCTAAACTCCGACACCCCCCCCCGGTTACCCTGCCAGCGAAAACCGGTGAACCCTGACCAGAACATCCAGTTTCCCAAAAACGACAATTCTTCCGCGGCATAATTTCGAAGGGGTGAGATTGGTCTCCACCTGTTCGCTTTGAACTGAAATGGAATCAAAAGATCAGTTAGCCTGTTTCGTTCAGCAAACCTTCAGAGGCTGAACTACTTGTAGTTATCAGGAAAAACGCTTCTGCAGAAGGAATGTGCTACTTGGATTTGGGTTCAGCTTGGCATTTGTCACTTCGATTGAAGGCAGGTAGCTAGCACGATTCAAATCCAAGACATTGAAAGGATTATACACCTGGAAGGCTGATGTTCACCCCGCCCCTGAGCAGGCCGTTGCGCGGCGCCCTTTGCAAGAAAGGTACTCTTTATTAGCGTCCCTTCTTATTCAAGCTTGCATCCATACCGACCCCGTCGCCATTCGCGCTGTCCCCCCCCCCCGCGATGTCGACTGATGCTGATGCATGTACCGCTTCATTTCCGAAGTAAAATATGAAGCGAAGGGATTAATATGGAAGACTGCAGTGCGGCATGGATATGGATGTATTGCATGCACTCTCTCCGTAGCTGTTATTTTGGCCCAAGCAGTTTGGATAAAACTTATCAAAGTTTGCTTTTCAGAGTCTTAATAAAAAAAGCTTTTTGCAGGTTTTTTCAACGTTTACTTGTCGTTATTTTCGTCATTTTGCCCACTATAGTACCCTTTGCTATCATTTCTAGCCCCGCAGCGCCATTCCTGCGTTTTTATGCTTGAAGAGATTTCGCCTTGAAATGCCCATCTGTCCAAACTTCGCTCTAGAAGATAAGAGATCCGCTGACCCTTACCCTGCAACGATTTCTTTCTCACTGCTCATGGACCGTGCTTAGAGAGGTTTGAGAGTTTTTCATGTGAACAGGCCTTCTATGTAATCACATTAGTCCACGAGCAACGCTGTCGAAACCGGTAATAGCGATATAGTCCTCTAAAATGCCCTTCATATCTCTACATTTACATAATTCACCGGCGAACGTTGAGCCAATGCCCCGCCCATAGCGCTTGAGCCGACCAACCAGCGCGTCAAGGTCCGCCTCTTTTCCATTACTGTCATGTGGCGATTAGTGGTGCAAATATGATGATGGCCGATTCGCAGCCGGTTCGCTTCTCGATTGAAGAGCTCTTACGCTCTCGGCACAATATTCTTTCGACTGTATTGCCCAAAGAGAAGCCTAAGAAGTCCGCTGAACAGCTCACTTTGTCAGGACTGCCAGGACTCTCTGTCAGTGCTGCAGGAATCCCCAATGCAGAACAGTTGCCGTTCTGGCTAAGCTGTGCCGCTGCCTCTTTCCCACTCGAACAAGGACTACTCATGGCTCAGAGAACAGGTACGTTTTTCGTTCCACTTCTCCTACCGTAGTAAAACTCTCATGCACACTGACGTCAGTTCCTGAAGAACTATCCGGATTTTCTCCAGCATTGAAAAGCCTGCCTCATCGAAGAGACGATGCAGGAGACTTACCATTAGGTCACTCCTCAGTGTCTGTACAGTTTAACCTAACGTTTGATTTCAGTATTTCCCCAGCTGTGGGCGGCTGCTGCCTCTTCTGATGCCTTACGAATGGCAACTACCAGCAAGTCCTACCGGAGGTACTAGTTTCTTTTGCTGACTTACCATGACCTCTATTTTTTTGTAGCTTCCGTAACTCCTCGAAACAGCTCGGTTTTTGCAAATGTTTTTGTGGTTTACATATGCGTCGTTGACACAAATACGAGGATTATTCACTCTGTCTCTATCAGATTAAAAATATCAAACTTCAAATTATTCCGTTAACCCCGAGCAAATCCACTGACTGACGGGTCGAAAACAACCACTCATAACAGAAAACTGATGCTCTGGGGAATTGGAACGAGTTAGGTGGACAAATTGAAGGGAGGGTAGCTTCGGATCTTCAGAAAGCTGAATGCGCTAAAAACGAGCCGTAAATGCCGCTGTGGAATCCTGCTCCTTATACTCTGTGGGCATACAAGAAATGGCAAAATCTAAAGCTTTAGATTTTGAGAGCGTGAAATTTCGAGGTGTCTGAGTCGTACTTTAGCTTCGAGTCAATACTAATGGCCCTTCTTCATTGGGCTGAGATTTCGGCAATATCGCCCTCCTCAGTAATAAGAAATCCAGGAAGCTATTCATCCAAATACTGTTCGTGCCTACAAAAAGAACCTAAAAGGTTGTAGACTACTAAAACATTGTCCTTGAAGCTATCAGAATTATCCTTGAGAGCTATCAACTTAGAAGCTTCACCTGTCACCTCGAGCTGGTTGTAAACCTAGTTAGACTGGATGAACCAATGGTATTTTGCTCCAGGGACCTCAACAGGTCG